CAAAAGACCACGACACTGTCACAACAGGACCAGGATCAGCTGCTCCCACTTCACACAGTATGATTTAATGCTGAGCTGTTTCACAGAGTCACTGATGCAGACACAACTTCTGCAGTTGCTCAGCAGCTATATTCCTACGCCCTCACAGTCTCCGCTCTTTATAAAAGCACCACTAAGATTACACTATTTCTGCTTTATCATTGTGACTGAAAACAACAAAATGTGTGCAGCGTCTGAGTCTAACACAAATTTGATGACAGGGACAATAACAATATAGAAATATTGTATTATATCGTGCGGTCTCGTTTCATATCACATCGCATTATATCGTATCTTATCGTATCTCGTTGTACCTTAATATTATCACTCCCATGTTTCTGGAAAGGAAGTATTTTTCCAAATTGATCACAGTCATTATTTCCATTCATTTTTATGTTTAAAGTCTGCAGATCCCGTTATTATCTCCTTCTTAATTACCCTCATTGATGATGCTTTTGACCTCATAATTCAGACCCTGTCATCACAGACACATAGGTGTGAATGTTGAAAAGAAATGTCTGTCAGTAATCCCTTTAATATGCCTCTGTGTCTTGTTTAAGTATCTTCTTCAGTAGGGTTGAGCTTTGACTTCAGCCTATCAGAAGTAATTAATTTAAAGCAACAACAAGCATCTGTTTTGACTTTGCATTGTCGTCACTAGTGTGGTCTCATGCCTTAGCACACCAGCCAAAAAAATAATGTCTCCACCAACTGTTCATTTTGGGCATGCTTGCTTGCCTCTCCCAAAACGTTTGGGTTTGGTTTCCTCCGCTGTAGCTTCTGTCATGTTTACTTCATTGCTGTGAACTTAAGAAGCTGCTCCTTCTGTCTCACTAACTCTTAAGTTTCGGAGTTTCGAAAATGTATTCATCACTGAAATTCAACCATTAACACAGATACAAGGCTCAACATCTGTACCAAAGATTCTATTAATCGGTCAGATTGCAAAACCCTCAAAGAATTCTCACATAAGCATAAAATGAAATTGACTTGACATATCTCTGTGCTCTGTTTTGTTGTTATTTATAAGATATGTAGTTGGAAGTACAAGATACTTATATGGAAATATAACTGAAGTCCCTCATTTAAAGTGAACACATCCATCTGTTTGCATTGTATAATAGTCATCACTGTGGTTTTATGCCTTGGACCACAACAAAATTGCCCAATGCCAGCTGTGCATTTTGGGCATACTTCCTTGAGTCTCTGATAACTTTGGGGTTTGGTTTCCTCCACCAGTGTCTGCTCAGTTGACTTGATGTCCATGAAACTGGAGGAGCTGGCCCATCTGTCTCACAGGAGTTTGAGTTTCAGAGCTAAAATCCAAAAGAAAAGTCTGACTATCAACCTTAATAAATGTAGAAATAAAGGTGCTGCAGTTCTTTACCCACCATGGAAACCTAATATGTTCACAGTGATTTGACCAGGGGGGGAACACAGACCTCTCTAAAGCCGGTGTTCATTTTGTACATACAACAGAGCAGCTAATCTGTGAAGAAAGGCCTCGTCACCTGCAGGGGTCCACCTGTTTGACCTGCACCATCTCTCTGGTTTCTTTATTCCCACTAACCTGAGACAATAGAAGGCCGGGGCAGCTTCACCTCCTCTCCCAGATCGTCTTACACAACCACCCGGGGCAAAAGTGAACATGAAAGTGCTGTTTGTGTGGCTGGGTGAAACCAGGTAAAGGCAGTTACACACCCACTTGCTCCAGGGACACCACACACATGATACTGAGCTATCCTTTGAGCCAAAAAAATATATTCTGTAGATTTTATCAAACCTTATCACATGGGATGCACTGACTTACTCAATAAAATGTTATCTGTTATACACATGGAATAATAAATGCAGAGCAGCTTGGCTTAGGCTAGACTTGAGATAGAGAGCATGAGATGAGATATATTTGCACATAGAAATTTCATTTCATATTTCATTTCATATTTGATTTATTTGTTCATTTCAGTGTTTGGTTTCAACACAATAATACACAACAAAAAAGTATTTTCTCATAATACTGAAACACTGTTCATGAGCAAACAGGAGCAGGAACAAGAAAACTTACAATACCTGCCCCTTTCCTAAAAACATAAGATACTGTTTAACAGAATAAGATGGCTAACCTGTTGTTTTCGCTTTCTTTCACAAAACAAAAAATAGATCATCAATATAGAAACAATCAAATACAATCAGTTAGATTAACTCAATACATTCATCATTTCCCAGAACCTTTTCTTTATACATTATTTTAAATTGAATGATAGTTGAGCAGCTGAGCAAATGCTTCTTATTTGGTTTTACTACATTGAACCATTGAGAATAATGACTCCATTAGTTCAGTTTGTGTCTGGATGTTTGAAATGGATGGATGTAATACTGGATGATCTGATGTCTTTGGGATTCAAACTTTTATTTAAATGAAAATACCTGAAGGCGAAAACCCCACAGACTATAGTCAGTGAAATCACCCACTGGCAGACTGCAGTTTATACCTTGAGATTCACATTTTGGCATTTGCAATATTGATACTTTTGGGCCAGAAGTTATTACCATCGTAAGAAAGGGGGAGGCTGGAGACTAACCCAGGCTAATTCATTACTTGGACAATGAGCTTGTTAGGAATGATGCCTTAATTATCTGTAGAAGTGTTCAGCCCCATACAGTTATGATTAGATAGAGAGTTTAAATATGTGCTGTACAGTTGTAAATGTTTAAATGACTTGCCACTGGAAGCCAGCCCCAAGAGGCTATTTGAGGAACTGCAGGGGTTCTCAACCTTTTTTGGCCTGTGTACCCCCTTTCAGAATTTCTTTCAGCCAAGTAGCCCCTTGTCCTGCCAAGAACATTTTTCAGGAAATGATTTGGGAAAAGAATGTGAATAAATCAATGCACGTGGTCTTCATACATTCATACATAATGCAAGCTATATTATAAATTAATAGCCTCTTGTGGAAATAGTTCCCTTTTTTATGTTGAATAGAGAACATATGCTGTTAATTAATTTGTCTTTAATCAGTGTTTGGATTTTCCTAGAAATCATTATATTTGTTTCTTGTGGTGCAACTTTTTTTTAACGACAATTGTCAGGTACCCCTGGCAGTACTCCCACGTACCCCTAGGGGTACACGTACCCCCCTTTGAGAAACACTGCTTTAGACTGCTGCTAGGAAAAAGATCCCATCAATAACTTATATTTAATTTTCTGGCTAAATTAAATGTTTCGATCTTAAATAATACAAATGAATAACTCTGTTTTTTTACGGGTAAATCTGACATTTGAAAAGTATCTAAAGCTGTCAGACAAATGTGTTAAGTTATTTAGGCTAGTGCCTCCAATTTACTGCAGTAAGGTTCTTTAGGAGAAGTACTTCACCCCAATGGACACTAGAGAACCCTCATCCCAAAACACAAAACGTCTGATTTTCTGGCAGACGTGTTAAGCGCTGATGCAACTTGTTACCAAACCCACAGCAACAGAGACGCCATTCACATATCTTACACCAGAACGTATAACGTCATTTGCTGCAATTAAGAATATGGTTAAGACCCCAAGCAGCCCCTCTAGCTACATCCTGCCAACACACACACAAAAACCCACTTACACACAGATACATTGAAACGTAGAGGGCTTTGTAACAACAACAATGCTCTCATTGTTTTGTGTTCTTGCTATGTGATTGTTGCCAGCGCTGGTACAAACTTCACACCACTATTAAGCACCAGCAGATACATTCAGAAAAGTGGGCAATTCAGTGAAGCTGTTTTTTGTTCCCTGCAGGTTTATATGATAACAAATGAGCCGGCATCTATCAGTGCTGCTGGTGTGGGGAAACTTTTTCAACCTTTCAAATGCCAGCTTTTCAAGAACCATGAAAGTGATCCATGAGGAGAGTTTTTGTGAAAAATGATTGATCTTAAACGTCTCTTAAACAACATCACCAAAGATGAGCTGTTCAAAAGAAACATTTCTCCTTCATGGACATATAACCACGAGTCTTATGATTACAGTGATTACTTATTTATGAATATGGTCCTACGCATGTGTTACTAATGAGTGTGTACATTAATTTTTTATCCACTTTTTCCTGGATGGATGATCAACCTCCGGACCAGCAGATATTATGGGGTTTTACAAAATATATTGATACTGAATTAAATTCCAACTCTTCCAAAGATAGTTTAACCCTTTAGTGACCTTCAGCAACCTGTCTCGTTGTCCGGCTCAATTTGGGGGATTTTGTTTGTCCAGCTGACTGTAGACACGTGCTGTTTATCTGCCAAAACAACCTACGTTGGAGTGTCCTAGGCTCTGTCATTTGTCCTCTACCTTTAAACGGATCCTTTCTAGATAATTGACAGATAGCTCTTCTGATATGTTTATATCATATAGGCTACTAAACGTTGACACAGAGATTTCATTTAGAGCTTGATCCGAGGTTTCTTTCAGTCTATGTAAAGGCATTATCAAGAAAAAAGAAGAAAACTGCCTCACTAAATAAAATCTAACAATTTGATATAGCCTATTATGATTCACAAAAGATTTATTTTACATATAAATCCCAGATGTAAATATTAACATTTGGCTATTCAGGTTCCAGGGTAGCCTACTTGCATAATGGCTCACCTGAACACTGACATGACTTATTCTTGGAAAATAACATCCATCAGTAATGTAATCAAGTCTATGTCAAGTCAAAATGTCAACTGCTTTAATTTTACAAAATCAAAATCATAACATACAATGCACCACTAATATAAATAGTAGAAATAGCATAGTGTTGAGATAAAAAAAAGAAAAGAAAATAGTGTATTGATTATGTTTCTATTGAATTCAGAAACTACGTATTGTTCCTTGACTCTAACAGCTTTTACTAGCAGTGTAGTTCCCCCTGGTGACCTGAGGGGGCGCTGTGGAGCAGGAGCGCACACACACCCCGGCGGGGGGACACGAGCAGCGGCGGCACCAGCTTTCAGTCAAACTGCACCGGGCTGATCATCAGAGAGGAGCAGCGGGGTCAGCCTCTTAACTTTGGACTAACACCGGACAACATCATGCGAGAGGGACCTTCTGCTGCTTTTTTGGCACTTTTATTTTATTTCTCCTCTCTGGAGCCAACTGTGGTGCTCGCCTTCAACCTTGATACCAGTCATGTCATCAGGAAAGACGGGGAACCGGGGAGTCTGTTCGGGTTCTCTCTCGCCATGCACCGGCAGCTCAACCCGGATCAACGGATGTGAGTGATACCGTGAACTTTACTTTTCCACTTTTCCATCTGATTATATAGACCTACACACTTTTCTGACCGTATAGGTCCACCTGACCAAACAGGTTCATTTTAATTACTAACAGAAGTGGGCTAATAGGCTACTTTTAACTTAATTTCCTGAACTTATTTCCTTTACTCTTACTGTCTAATTATCCTGGGCATAAAACATCCTCTTCATTTTTAGGATTCTGACTTTGCGAGACGAATTAAATATTTGACATCCCCTAGTTGTGATGTCATACATTGTGCCCACATTTAAAAGAAAGTGTTTCTCAAATCCTGTAGTGGTTTTGTCCGATTTTACGTGTTTTTTTGTTCTAGTTTTCTTTAGAGCTTGTCTGTCTCCCTGTGGTGCTTTGGATGCAAGAGGGGAAGAAGCCGAGAGACAACAAGTGGACAAACAATGGTTATAACTGTTATGCAAATGTGCCTGTTAGGTCAAACTGAGGGAGCAGTGAGAACAACGGTAGACTCATAGTGTTGCAACTGTTAGTCGGTTAATCGGTTAGATTTTCTTCTAATACTTGATCCTTAAGGTATTATGCCTACACAAGATGTGGAGAATGATTTCTTAAAATTAGAGTTGTAAGCAAGACTTTACAGGCAAACTCTAAATACTTCCATACCAGTTATTTACAAATAAAAATCAAATGCTGGATTAATTGGTAAAGTGAGGAGGGATCCAGGGTGGGGTGATGTGGGTGAGGCTGCATGCAAGAGCTACTGTAAAGCAGACACACAACAAGCCTGCAGCAGCATGTTGAGACACAGAGAGCAGGGATGAGAATTCGTGATAGCAGGAATTAGAGAGATTCCCCAAAGATCACACACATTCGGCTTAAGCTGAGGAATTTTATCTGCCTGGTATTTTGGCTGAAAGGCAGCTCCTGTTGCAGTGAATTTACTCCTCATTTAAATCTGGAATCTGTCCTTAAGAAATGCTTTTTTTTTTTTTTGACAAGTCATCCTTTGTGCGGTCCTGAAAAGAGCAACGTTTACTTTTGTCAGAGTTGATAAGTGTAAGGAGAGTGAAAGTGAAATGTAATATTTGTTAGGCAAACAGAGGCTTGAAATGTCACACCGGCCTGATTGTTGGTTTTCAGCCATTGAAAGTAAGAGGGAGAAGATTCACCTGACATGCTGGGCACTAAGAAAGCTGCTCTTTAAGGACAGAAACAGCGATTGTGGGCTGAGGAATATCAAAAAAGACGTAATACATGATGGTCACAATTTCCTGGAAGCCCAAAGTGAGACCATCATATTGCAAATCTTGTCCAAGTAAGAGTGCAAACAGGTTACATTTATGACCTTAAACACCTTTATTAATCTTAAATTTAAGGAGGTCTGCATTTTTCCTTAAAAGTGACTTTTAATTGAGATTATTTCCTGTTGTCTTCTAATGTTAATCAAAACATTGGGTTAGCTCCACTGACAATGAATCAGAATCAGAATCGGGGTTTATTGCCATGTACATTTACACATAGAAGGAATTTGACTTGGTGTATTGGTGCTAAACAGTTAAGAAGGAAATAAAGCAGAACTAGCAACAACTTAAATAATACAGTATAAGAAGCTATTACAATATATAAAATAGAATTTAAAAATTTAAAATAAAAATAAAAAACACAAAATGTACAAAAGGGGCAATGTAGGAGCTACAAAACATGACTATGCAGAAAATGAAGTCATTTTTTTTTTGCAACCCTTTTTTTCCCCTCTCACGTCCTTGTCAAAAACATAGCTGCGCCATGTTACTGTATTAAAACACTCCTCCCTTTACATTATTGAGACTGAGGAAAGTAGCCCTCACTTCTCTGACGTTATCTCATCGTCACATCCTCATGTGACCCTGAAAGAATCAGCCAGGCGAGTCCAGTGAAAGCACATTAAAGCACACAGCAGTAGGTAATGAACAACCATGTCTGACTTGAAGTGTTGAGGAACACTGACGGCTCTCTTTAAAGCAGCAGCAGCAGCAGTGTGTCACACTCTGCATCTGTCTCTTCTGCTCTTACTGAAACATGTGTTTGATGATGATCTCTAGCAGCTGTATACTGGATATCACTGTCTACATTGATGTGATTAGAATGAGTCAGATGTGAGGAGAGGAACGCTGGCTTCTACAGGCTCCTATTCTTAACGCTGATGAGGAGCAACACATACGACTAAAATCTACTGGCCTTTTAATTCTTACTGTGTTTCCAATGATTTGTTAATCTTATTGCTTATTATATATATATTTTAAGAAGTTGTTCCTCTTATAAGTTCATTGGAAGCACAACTTACATTGTTTTATTGGTTTTCAATGAGTGGAAGAAACAAGGAACACAACGTGGTATCTTTTAAAGAGACAACTGTGTGACTCTCCCCTGCATAACGTGTCGGGTTAATGATGTGGATTTAACGTCCAGGGAAAGAAACCAGGGCGAAAAGTTCCATTTGAGTGGACACGCACGACCATCTGTGCACATGTAACCTGAGAGATAGAAGGCATCAGTGAATCATGAGTTGAGATATTCACATCAGATGTGACACTCAAGTGTGGCTCGCTTAAAAAAAGACAGTGAAGAAGTTTTTTAATTATGCAGTTAAAATATTTTTAGCCCTAACTTTTTATTCATGATTTCCTCTGTGATATGTACCCAGCCAATCACAGATCAGCACCAATCAAAGTTTTACGTGTGTGTGTGTGTATGTATGCGTGTGTGTGTGTAAACTGAAACAGTTAGAACAGCTGCAGCAGTTCTTGTGGCTTTGAGTGCACAGCTGGACGAGCTCTTGACCACATCTGTTAACAAAGGCGAGTGAGATCACTGTGTAAACCCTCAGCAGTCACTCTCCCATTTACACTGCACTGAAAGACAAACTGCATGATGGGAAGTGGTCTCGCTCTACAGCCTGGCTGATGTTGGATAATGTAGTTTTATAAAAGATTGATGAAGAGTTTTAATAACATTCTTTATAAACTTTAAAAAAAATGAAGATTGATTACTAAGTGGGACGTTTTAAAGCTAATTAGCTGAACTATATGTAGTTCAATGCTCTATGATGAACAATGATTCTTTGACATTTTATTGTACTATAATGCAATTCCTATTATTTATACTGCAACACATATCGTATGTCACTAAAACATTTCTTATGAGCTGTAATGTATTAAATGGATTGCTCTATCTGTATGGCTGTATTCCAGTCAAGTGTGTGTACTCACTTTTTTGATGCAGCCTGAAGCTCTAGTGTCATCCCCCTTTTTCACACAGTTTGATGTCTTTAGTATGATGTGTTTACTGTAGTTCATACTTGGAGTCTTTTTAAGTGTCTCATGCAGACATTTATGCATGTATCTCCGTCTGCAGCAGAAAGTAACATCAAGTACAAAAAGCCTCTTTCCAAACTGACAAGCAGGTAATGTGTCTGTCGGTCTGACATGTAAATGTCAATGTTACCCCTCAGATACTTGCTAAATTCAACATCTGTCACTTTCCTGAGAAGCCCTGCAGTTATGTCTGAGGTGTTCTCCTTTACATGTGTTATAAGTTCATCGTTCACACAGGGCTTTTTCTACACATAGCCTTGTGGATTTGATCTTCTTTAAAGCAAAACGGAGCGTTCACTGAAGCTGAAGAACATTATGGGAGCTCACTCTTTCAATCTGAGAATTTATTCTATCTATGCTTAGAAGTGCAGGTTTTGGGGGCCACTTGTACAAGTCTTTCATTTGCATCCGATAATTGTATTTTTGCTTTCTTTTTGTCAGTGCATTGTCATCATTAGCACTCACTCTCACTTTTTGCAGAGTCTTCCAGTTTTATTCTATAATAAAACTTCATGTACAGTGTCTCTAATGTCTCTGCAGTTGTTGCAGCATTACAACGTATGCACTGAACTGAAACTCAGCATACTGAATCTCAGAAGTAAAGACGTTTGTAAAGGCTGTTTGTATTTACATTGACTGGCCTTTGTTTGAGGGGAGGGTTTGCAGTTTGGTCTCTTGTCTCTCATCAGATCTCCTCAAGAGGGTCCTTGTTCAGCAGATGATGATTCACAGGGCTGTGCCACAGATCAGTTGGTGTTTCACTGAAGGAGCTGCAGAGAAACAAGGAGGAGAAAAGGGTGGAGAGGTTTTCCTCATGTCAGGATTTCCTCTCTTTACTTGGAGATAATTCCTACACACACTTTGAATCTAAACACATGATAGCCTCCCATCCCAACATGTACTTTTAGAGTCTTTTTAAATAAGTTTTGGCAATTATAATTATCCTCAGTAGCTGTACTGTAACTAAAGATGGCCTACAAAATTGATATTCTGTTTTTTGTAGATTCAGCTGACCAGGTCTTCAGAAATGTCAGAACTAATTAAATGTAAGAAAACAACTTTCCTCACTGTAAGAACGAGTCTGAAAGCTCATGTGAGGATTTTTTAGCTGGTTATGAAACAGACTGAAATAAATACGTTTGCCTCAATATCACCTAGAAAAACAAGTGTCAGCAAGATGAGCAACTATTTTTAATGGATGTTAATTCTGTTGCTGGGTAGGTGTCAGAGAGAAACTGTAACCACAATTCAAAAACAGCCTTTTTTATGTTATTCCCCAGTAAAAATGTATAATCAGTGATACGTTTCACTGTTTTATAAAGGCATAATGAGACTACTAGGGCTGTCATTTTTTTAATCGCATTGATCGCGTGCTCTTTTGTCCCTTTAGGGGCACCGTACCTAAGCCACTGCGCTGACAGCAGTGTCTCCCAGTAGTCACAGTGATGGAAACAAACAACACCTCCTCACCTTTGAGGCTCATTTCACTTTAACAAAACTCCAAGAGGGCTCAGGTAATGAGTCAAAAGTTACACCCACCTCACGACATCAAACATTTTACTTTTTAACCGTTCCCTTCAGCTGCTTTCTTTTAGTTTCTGATCTATACTTAAGTTAATGATGGAACCTTCAATCTACCAGAAGTTCCTTTTTTTCTTTAATAGTAGAAGCAGGTAGGTATCCAAAAAGGAAGCAAAGTATCCTTAGACTAAAACAGTACAAAAATACAAAATAAAAGCTTTACAATAACTGTTCTGAACGGCAAAATGATGGATATTCAAACATGCAATTAAAAATGTGATTTATCATGGTCAACTATTGAAATTCACAGATTAATCGCTCTATTTTTTTTTAAACGTTTGATAGCCTTCCTACCTATAATTTTTAATGCTCCCAGATATAATATTGCTGTGCAGCTGTTCAGAACAAGTTGGTCGAAGGCATACATAGGTTTAGGGAGACTGCAGTGTAACCAACTTACTGAGCTATGGCTAATAGCTCACTAGCTATTGCTAATCCAAACTGCCTGTGCCAGTTGAGTTGACATTTAAAAAAAAAAGAAGGTGGTTGCTGGTTCGGTCTTGTCTGAAATCAAGGGTCAGTGAAAAAAAAATCTAAGAATTATGAAGGCTTGATAAGTGTCTTTTGTCATGGTGAAGTGTGTAGTGTGTTTGTGGGAACAATACGTTTGACATACTACAAAGAGAATTAGTTTTTACGATGATAATAAGTTTGACAAGATGTTGCAATATAGAGAGGCCACCTACACAGCTGAGCTACCAACTCAACTACTTTGTCTAACTTTTCAATGCAGGATAGATTATAGCTGAATCTAGATTACCATAGACAGGAAATAACACTTTGGTTTAGCACTTCATTTTCATCGTGTGCAAAAGGGTACAAATGCAACCAAGGTGTTGCAGACATTTCAAAAGGTGTTGAGAATGATTTGAACGTTTGAAAAGTGTAATAAGTTCAGGTCTCACCCATGTCCCAGTTGGCCCCGTTTAGGTTCATTTGAAGTATTGTGAAAGGCATGTATTCATTCATAAACATGTGATAAAGTCATGTCAGTCTAAATTATGTTTTCTGTCACACAATTGTTCTTGCTTACACCTTATAGAGCATTTATAGAGAGTTTTGGTGATACTTAAATAAACCATTCAAAGAAAGGCAGTTTACACAATTGTAGAGTTGAGTTTAATTCTTCTTTTTTTGGATCAAAGATAAAGTCATGTCTCTTGTCACTGACTACAGAGATTATTCCCTGCAAGTCCAAATTCAAACTATTATGGCTTCAGTGAAAAGTGTAATATTCCTATTTTGTATTCTTACTATACAGGTGCATGATGATATCTTTTTTATTTTCTACTCTGTGCCAGTGTTCTGTAAAAAAAACGTACAGGCGATGCCTTGCGTTCCGGTGATGTTTTTTAACGGTCTATTTCTGGTGTCTGCACTGAGCTCGGTGAAAGAGCGTTTCCTTTCTGCACGCAGCATCCTGAAGAAGGACTTGAAACTGGCAGATTTCATTTCACTTGAAGTCTTTGGCTCTTTCTTAAATGACAAAAAAACGTTTCTGCACTTTATTTGCGAACCAATTTGCACATTTTTATTGTTGTTTGATCTCAAATTATTGTTTGTTAAAGTTTTTTTATTCATGTTTAATTGATTATGACGTGTACTTCTGCTCTCTTGTGAAAGAGATCTTGATTTTAATTGATTAGAGATCTTGATCTTAATTGATATTAATTAACCTGGTTAATTAAAAAAAAAGTAGCACTGTGTATGTACGCCTCGAATGTGTGTGTGTGAGAGAGAGAGAGACTTTTTTCTTTTGAAGCTCTGCTCGGTCAGTGTGACAGAACTTCATACCTGTACAATGTGCAACAACAAAGACGTGATATTTTGTTCTTTGGGTCTTAAAATCTTCTTGTGAAAGAAAAGCCTTTTCATCAGAGAGTGTGGCTGTCTGATAATGTCATCGCTGAAACACATCCTCTTTTCAGGCCGGTGGAGGCTGTGTGAGAATGTGGGTTTAGAGGAGAAGCTGTGGTCAGTGAACTGTGTTTGAACAGAGCAGTGAACACGCTCCAAATTGTCTGCCTCACCGCTCCTCTGCCCTCTGCAGAATGTCAGAACACTGCTCCACTGTCCCACACTGACATTTTCTGTTCTGTCTCTTATCACCAAATCAGCTCTTTCAGAGAATGATTGAACACAACCAGGAATCATTCTTCCTGAGAAATATGTAATATATGTGTTAACTAAAGACTGAAACATCCTTATGTGTGATATGTTCATATTTACTATTCTAAGAGTTACCAGTCAGAGCCTTTACAGGTAGAGCTCTTAGAGAGTCTAAGAGTCTAAGAGAATACGTCTGGGTTAATCACATAAATCTCTTATTCAAACTTTATTCCCCACAACATTATCCTGATTTAAATAAAAAACATTTTTTTACTTTAGGTGTCTCTTTCATCATCAATTTATAACACTAGAATTAATTCATCCTACTTGATACTGGTCATGTTAATGTTTTCTGTTCCTCAAAGTTGTGGACACATTGTTCTGTTTCAAATATTAATGCAATAGAAGACACTATCTGTACCTTTGAATGTTTTTCACACAAAAACAGAATGTCTTTCTTAAGATTTAGAACAATTTTCTTTATCTCTGTGGAGCTGTAGAAACACAACCTAGATTTAGTTTGTGTTTTTTACTTTTGCTTTTCATTGTAGGAGGATACTTTACATAAGGAGCATGTTTTAGTACACTTCATTTTGGTGATGTAGTCGTTGGTCACTTAAAAGAAGTGAAACTAGTGAAGATATTAGTATTTTGAAACACAACAGACATGTTACATCCTCTTTGCAGACAGGAAAGAACTGGCATTCTTGTTGCGATGCCAACAATGTCGCTGTTGACCTTCTCACATACATGTTCAAAATGTAGCACGGTGTTGCTCTTAAACTTAGAAATGCAGACTAAGTTATACAGTCAAGGTGTCCACAGGAAGCTACACTAAAAAGTTATTTCAGTACTTTTCATGAAATCTTGGAATATGTGATGAAATAAAAAGGTAGCTTAATTATTTTGTCTTTGTCTTCAGGCTCTTGATTGGTGCACCGAGAGCTACAGCTTTGGGAAAACAGACAGCCAACATCACCGGAGGACTTTATAAATGTGACATCACCCAGAACAATGACTGTGAGCGCATTGTATTTGATAATGAAGGTGAGTCAAGTGTCTGTCTGTCTGTCTGTCTGTCTGTCTGTCTGTGTCTGTGTCTGTGTCTGTCTGTCTGTGTGTCTGTCTGTCTGTCTGTCTGTGTGTCTGTGTGTCTGTGTGTCTGTCTGTCTGTCTGTCTGTCTGTCTGTCTGTCTGTCTGTCTGTCTGTCTGTGTCTGTGTGTCTGTCTGTCTGTCTGTCTGTTTGTCTGTCTGTGTGTCTGTCTGTCTGTCTGTGTGTCTGTCTGTCTGTGTGTGTGTCTGTCTGTCTGTCTGTCTGTCAATCTGTCTGTCTGTCTATCAGAGGTTATATCTTTTATTTCTGTTTCTTTATTCTAACAGAGAATGTTCGAGTTGAGAATAAGGAGAATCAGTGGATGGGAGTGACGGTTAAGAGTCAGGGACCTGGAGGAAAGATTGTGGTGAGTGTCTCTAACACCAGTCTGTGTTTGCTCTCATTAAATCTGTACGTCCAGGTTTGATTTTAAACATGGCTGTGTTTTTAATTTCAGACCTGTGCTCATCGCTATCAGAGGCGTTTGTTTGTGAACACCCCTCAGGAGTCCCATGACATCACAGGGCGCTGTTACGTCCTGAGTCAGGACCTGACCATCGACACGTCCTCTGATGAGGACGGAGGAAACTGGAACTTCTGTGAAGGCAGAGCCAGAGGCCATGAGATGTTTGGATCTTGCCAGCAGGGTTTGGCTGCCACCTTCACCAAGGATTATCATTATGTGGTGTTTGGAGCACCAGGAGCTTACAACTGGAAAGGTCTAACATACAGAGCTTTTATTTTATCTATTCAAAACAACTAATCATTCAATATCGGTTTTCATCTCTTTTTATCTAAAATATTTTCAGTAAAGATTGTAAGCTTTTTTCTCTCTTACATCTTCTCCAGGTATTGTACGAGTGGAGCAGAAGAACAACACTTTGCTGGAGATGGGGATTTATGATGACGGCCCGTATGAGGTTGGAGATGAGCATCTCCTGAACCCTGAGCTGGTTCCTCTACCTGCTAACAGCTATCTAGGTGAGTGTCTGTCCACAAAGAATGTATAACAAACTGAGCCATCATACAACTGTGTTTTTAAAACTGTAAAAAAAAAACTCTGAATGCTTCTTGTGAAAAATCTCTTTGGATCTAATCGATTACTGCATTTAAAACAGGGCAAGCAGCTTTTATTCTTAAAGAATGGTGGCTGGCTGAAGAATTAAGTGAACACATTTTTGATTGTGAACAAAAGCAGTAAACAGGTGATGGTTCTCAGGAAACACTTCAGTAAATATGAAACAGTCTTGTCTTATTCTTGAGTTTTGTCTTGTGTGTGTAAAAATATTTTCACACATAAAACCACTGAGACATGAAGAGAAACAAATTCCTCTTGTAAGTAGTGTTCATAGAGCATTGTCAGCAGTTTCATTAGCGAAAAATGACAGGAAAAAGATTTGGTCATTTTTACTGCACTAGTGACTCCTACTGGCCAGTCTGTGTAATTGCATTCAACAGGAGGACATTGTGAATATTACCAGCTGTACAGTCATCTTACAGTAAAGGGCTAACAATGAGCCTGTTCTTTGGTGTAAAATGAGATATTTTAAGTCCTACGTCTCTCACACTGCAGGATTCGCCCTCGACTCGGGACACAAAATCATGAGAAGTCACGGCCTGACAGTGGTTGCGGGAGCTCCCAGAGCCAATCACAGTGGAGCTGTGGTCTTTTTGAGAAAAGAAAATGAAGCCTCAGGCAGACTTTTAGTGGCGCACACCCTGCACGGACCAGGACTTGCATCCTCCTTTGGATACGACTTGGCTGTAGTTGATCTGAATGGTGATGGGTAGGAAAAACTACAACTACAACTTACTTAAATCTTAAAAGTAAAATAAAAAGCAGGAGAGTGAACGCAGATGTAGAATAAATATTTAAAGCCTTGAAAGGATCTCTTCATTATAATACTATCTTAATGCCTTTTTTTTTCTTTAAATGGACTTTTGGCACTTTATTAATGGGATCATATTCTGTATGTTCATTATTTGACTTCCGTCCTTGATGTAGATGGCAAGACATAGTGGTGGGAGCGCCTCAGTTTTACATGAAGGACAGAGACATTGGAGGAGCTGTTTACGTTTACATCAACCAGGCAGGAAGGTGGGAAAGAGTCACTCCTGTCCGTCTTAACGGGACCAAAGACTCCATGTTTGGACTGGCAGTGGAGAACATTGGAAACATCAATCAAGACTCATATGAAGGTAAATCAGCTGTCATTTTCACTTAGTTGTGTTTTTTTCTATCATTTGATGTCAAGTAAACTGGTTTCTTCTCTCATTCAGACGTTGCTGTTGGAGCTCCACATGATGATGGCGGGGCAGGAAAAGTCTACATTTATCATGGCTCTGCTCAAGGAATCAAAACCACACCTGCACAGGTTTGTTTTGGAATGTTGTTGCTTCTGTTATCTCCATTTCCATCTCAATCACGTCAGTTTGATTATGTGAAAACACATGTGTCAAAGTGTCTCATCCAGAGAGTATGATCAGCACTCTTTATAGTTTTATACAACCCTCATTTTATGTGGAATTTGAGCTCGCTCTTTTGGGTTTCTGCCCATGAACTTTCCTGTTTTGGTTCAGTCTCACAGCTCTTGTCAGTGCTCCTTTATGGCCTCAGCTGTTTTTCCATGTAAATAAAAAAATCTCATGACCACTTTATCTGCAACAAATGGCAGACAGATAGCGGCTAGCTGGTGAACAAAATGCAGCATTCAACAGCTAAAGAGACACATATTTTTCTCGGGAGCAGGTGAAGATCAAAAACAGAGATACAAGCAGACTGAATACAGGAAGTGCATTTGTAGAGATGCTCCCTAACTGCTGCCTGGATGTGGAAATAGTTAGCAAACAAGTTTGAATTATCAACTGAACTTGGGATTTCACTATTTACATCAAGATCAACTAGTGATGAGGCGAGCTAATCAGCCTTAATAAAAATCTCTGTGTGAGAGTTCATATCAATGAAACACAACTCGTAGTGATGTCACCACGGCCATCTTGGCATTAGCTTGAAGATTTCAAATTTGTACCTGAAAGCTTGGATTCCAACCTGAGGATGTGGATCTTGAAACAAGGGGTGTATGTGGTAGTTCAATATTAGTAATATAGTCAAAGTGTAATGCTAAAGCACTGAAGGTAAACCAAGGTGAAGGTGATAATGTGTCAGCGTTTAGTATTTCTCTACATCTGATTGGCCCAAAGTCAGTCAATGTAGGTGTGAGTTCTACAAGAACCTTTTCACATGTAAAAGACATCGATTTGGCTGCTCCTTTCTTCTTTACATGGGGATTCTCATTTGTTTTCAGTAAAGCCATTTATTTATTAATTTTGTATTTTGGGGTTTTGCTATTGAGCTGAAACTTCTGTTATATCCCTGTCAAGAACTAAAGCTCAACTTTATACCCAAAAAGTCATAATTCAATTTTATGCTATTTGATACATTTCCTCACTTTTTTAAAATCTAAATCATTTTTTGTAATGAAAAATAAACTATTTTTCATTGCAGATCCTTTCAGGAAAGCAGCACAACATGAAGCTCTTTGGATATTCTCTGGCTGGGAACATGGACTTGGACAGTAATTCTTATCCAGATGTGGCTGTAGGCTCTCTGTCGGACTCTGCTCTAATCTACAGGTATATTTTCCCTGAACAATACCGGTACATTTCAGCATTACTGATTTGTATTACAACTTAATATAACTGTCTTTGTCTTTCAGGGCACGGCCAGTCGTCAGCATCAGGAGACATGTCAAAATATCTCCACAGGAAATTGACCTCTCAATAAAAAACTGTGGAAACAGCATTTGGTAGGTGTTCTGACATGTCAGCTGGCCTCACAGTCAAAACCTCCCGTTGTAAATGTTAACATATTTTATTTCCTGCCTTTAGCTTCACTGTAGAGGCATGCTTCACCTACACAGCAAACCCTGCATCTTACAACCCAAGACTAAGTAAGTAAAGTGATTTCCCCCCTCATTTTGCAGATCTAAGATCTTTTCAGTTGTTTTTACACATGTTTCCTTCATCACAGTGATCAGCTACTCAGTGGAGGCGGATGGAGAGTGCAGGAAACAGGGGCTTCCCTCCAGAGTGACGTTCCAGAACAAATCCCGCACAGAAGCAGAACACCAGTTTAATGGAACCATAGAGCTCCGAGGGCAAAAACAGGAAATGTGCACGAAGAAAACAGCCAGACTGAAGGTTAAACACGCTCACAGTTCAATCACATTTGCAGTATTTAATGCAGATACCCAACAGTCATTACTAGATTTAGTAAGAAATTACTGAAAACAAAACTCAGCCGCTCAGTCAAGAGAAATATCTATGTGCTCTAAAAAAGTTTAAGGTAATAATGTAGCTTCACATTTGAACAGTTGCTGACACAATGTATCACAGAATTTGATGTCACAGCAGAATTTGTCATTTAAGTTGCAAGCTTTAAAAAAAATAATAACAATAATTTTGCATACGAAATAAGGACATCTTCTCTTGGAACCCTAAATAAAGCCCTACAATGAATAAAAAGTCAATTAAGCTGTCAATCAACACAGAATTCATCCAGTTATTATCTCAGATATTTTTAGTAAAACAAATCATCGAATCCAGTTTCACTGATGTTATTATTGATGAAGTGATGAGACAGTATGTTAGATAATCTTGTATTATCTTTGAATTTTGGACTCTTTAGGGGAGGGGCTACTGACCTTTGTGATGTCATAGTGGTAAAACCTCCAAACGGCCTGTTTTAGCACACATTTTCTGAAAAGTGGAGCAGGCAAAAGACGGAGAGGATGGACTTCTCTCATAGTTGGGGGGTTTGTAGACAGACTAGGGATATATATCAGTACAACCCTAACCACTAACAATTGTAAATTGGAAAATTAATGCAGTTGCTGCATTAAATGTGATTTAAACCATAAGATTTGCGCGATGCAAGACAGTTTGAATATTTAACCTTATATGATGTATATTTCCTTTGATATTGTTTTCACAACAGTGAATAGTAATGTATAGTTATCATAGCTCTTAGGCAGAATTGACAAAGTATATACAATGAAATAAAAAGCTAATTTAGATGTTATTTTAATAAATATAAACCACATGATATCTTTCTACAACTTCCTCTTGCATAACAAAAACCTGCAGAAGCATTTAATAGGCTCTATATAACTACTGCTTGTGTTTTTTCTTACCTCAGGACAATATAAAGGACAAGATGAGAAGCATTCCTATCGAGGTGTCTGCAGAAATCGTGGGCACTAAAAGAAGACAGGCAAAGAACAGCCTCCCTCCGCTCATGCCCATACTAGACTCCTCTCAGCCCAGTAAAGACATCATACAGGTGAACTTTCAGACTGCAGCATTTAAGATACACTTATTGTTGGAGCAAAGTTTGTATTTGATTTTGTCTAAACGTGTTGCAGGTGAACTTTGTAAAAGAGGGGTGTGGGAGGGATCACGTCTGCCGGAGTAACCTGAAGATGGAGTACAAACTCTACTACAAACAAAACAACCTGGACATGGACTCCCCGTTACCCATGTGAGCTCTTACATTTCAACCCTCTGGAGCCAGAATGGACTTAGACAAGCTGAGAGCCTGAAGTGAGGTATTATGTTTGTGTATCTGCAGGAGGAACAACGTCCCTGTGTTTTATCTGAACTATGAGAGGAAGGATTTAGCTCTGCGAGTGACCGTCAACAACATGAACGGAGATGATGCTTATGAGGCAAAGGTGGTGGGGACTTTCCCAGAAACACTGTCGTATTCAGGAGTCCGCTCACAAACAACGGTAAACAAGACCACTAAGTGTGCAGCCTCAATAGTGTCCCCATGTTGATGTAGTACTGCTTACACAGGCCTTAGTCGACTCATTACATGGACTTACATTGATTACACATTCAGTATACATTTCTGTAGCTTCTCGCGCCGCTCGATATCTCCTTTTTATTAATAACTTATAATGTTGTTCATTTTAGCAGATGAGATGAAGTGTTGCATGGATGAAAACTGGGAGTTCAAATTCTGCACGAGGGTGGTGCTTCCTAGGAAAGTTGAGTCTTGCATTGGGAGACTGAGGCTCAGTATATTTTCTGTTAAATCCATGTCATCGTCAGCTCAACCCGTTTTATACACATCTGCATTTTGTGCTGGAAATTTCTGTAAAGAGAGTTTGTTAAATAACAGATAATTGAGTCATTCAGTTGTAGTTGTTGGTATTTTATTATTCCCTTTGCAAATGGAAGGAACAAGGCTTCAGAGTGAAAAATCAGTCTGCAGCAAAGCTCAGAGAAGGTCAGTCCCTCTCTGTACTGTATAGACACTCATAGTTACCAAGTTATGACGCACCCACTGTGGCTATGCTAAGATAAGAAACACATGGTACGGACAGTTCAATCCGGGAAGACAGTTTCACCAAGTGTCAAGGTCCTTTTCTATTAATCATCAGTTTCTGTAATTAGCAACACTAACAGTCATTTTCAGTAGGCACATACATTTTCCATGACAGGTCCTCAGCCAGCCTTTAACTGTCCTTAGGCTAATTATACCATGCTAATATGCTATAATTTAGCATTTGGACTGGGTATTTCTCAATACGTGTACCGATATGATATCTAAGTTTCACTGATACTAAAACAATACGTTTTCCCATACCATTGATTAATATGCTTCTCTTCAAAGCCGTTCCCCTAATGAACATGAAGCCAAACCTTTCAAATCTCATGTTAGCACAGGTTTAGCTGACATTGATTTGTCTGAACTTTCAGTATCTTGTCTGGAAAAATGATTAACTTGTGATGAAAAAGTAAAAAAGACAATGTTAACAATAAAAGCAATGAGACCTGTGCTATGATTAGAAAAGTCCAATCAGTGCAGACTAAAAATGAGCCTTATTAAATGTTGTATAAAATAATTTATTCCACTAGCAGGATGTTTAACAGTCTTATACAACCCTAAGCAGGAGATCATTCTGTCTATTTCTGCTCTCTTTCTGTAGTCGTCCTCATAGTACAAGTTACAAAGCATTCATGGTATTTGTACAGAAAGTTAGTAGAAGTAATCTCAATAATTAATTATGTAAATCAGCTGATTGACAGAAAATTCAGAATTTAAAAAAGTGTTTAAATCTAGTGCTAAAATGCCTGCACAATCTCCTATATTTAGATTTTAGTTAAATGTGTCCTTTTTTTTTAGGTGGATAAGCCGATCATCTGCACAGCCAATCAGAATGGCTCTCAAGCTGACTGTGAGCTGGGGAATCCTTTTAAACGTGACTCCCAGGTACGGACATGTTTTAAGATTTGCTCGTTCATTCTGATACTTTAATTTAAGAAAAAAAAAAATGCAGTTTGAGATTTTTTTTATTCCCCCCCACTAGACTACATTTTACATCATCCTGAGCACGGTGGGCATGACTCTTGACACCACAGAGATGAACTTTGTCCTTCATCTGCAGACGTAAGTACTGCTGATACAGCTGGGAATTTTCTGCACATATAAGAGTTTTTATTGTAATTTGCACCTTTTCAGAAAGTCACACTTTTGTTCCCTGATGTTTTTCATTAACTTAAATATTATTATTTTTCTATAAACACGGGTTTATTTCTTTCAGGACGAGTGTGCAAAAAAGTATTGCCCCAGTTAAAGTAAAGGCTAAAGTCATGATTGAATTGCCTCTTTCTGTCAGTGGGTAAGTCTGCGTCATTATAGTTTATTTTCAGATGAATACTCAAGTTCCTCCAACAGAATATGAACAAAGTGTTTTTTTATTGAATTCATCAGAGAAGCCAGACCGAATCAGGTTACATTTGGAGGTGTTGTTAAAGGGGAGAGTGCCATGAGGACAGAAGAAGAGATTGGAAGTTTGATCAATTATACGTTCAGAGTGAGTTTGAGCTGCTTCTATGTGTGACTATGATACCACTTCTGTCTTTAGCCTTAGCATATTAAATCACAACATTATAACATATTATGTTCTCTTTCAGATAAATAACTTGTGGAAGACTTTGACACCTTCTGTCAAAGCCTCACTTCACATTCAGTGGCCCAAATATAACAAAGATGGGAAATGGCTTCTTTACCTGGTGAAAATCACCTCGACAGGACCACAGGAAGTCCTTTGCTCTCCACAGTCTGAAATCAGCTCTCTCAAGCACATAAAGGTGGTGTTTCTAAACCTACTTATACAAAATAAATATAAAATAATATACAGACCTGCATTGATAGATTCCACTTTGAATCAATGAGAAAAAATGTTCTTTCAGGAGTCCTCCGCTTCAAGGACAAAACGTGAAATTGCAGAAAGAAAAGCTGTTGGAAAAATGTCTTTCCTGTCTGGCAAAAGTAAAACTCTGGTGAGTCATTGAACGGATTTGTTCACATTATTTTTTATTAAGGTGTGAATTTATTTTGACACATAATGCCATTTTCTTCTCAGACATGCAACAGTGAGATCAAATGTGTGGTGCTACAGTGCCCCCTTGAGGGCCTGGACGGTACTGTGGTTGAACTTAGATCTCGTCTCTGGAACTCAACATTTATTGAGGTATTTTATCTTTAACATGTGCCTCGTCATCAGTTTGGCTAATGCCTCATTATTTATGTCTGTCTTAACTGAGCTGCTCTTTTCTTCCATCAACACAGGACTACGCCTCTCTCTCACACTTGAGCATTCTTGTGAAGGCCTCGCTCATCCTTCATACTGAGGCTAAAAACATGATCCTACGAACTCCTGACACTGCTGTAAGTTAAAAGAGCAGCAATGACAAATCATGAACAGCTTCTGAACGTTAATCCTGACTCAGCTGATCTCACTGTTATCCTCTCTGTGATGTTTGATGACAGGTGACGGTGACAGTGTCTCCAGACAGTGAAGTAGCGCAGCACAGTGGAGTTCCCTGGTGGATCATTCTGGTGGCTGTTCTGGCAGGAATACTGATTTTAGCTCTGTTGGTGTTTCTGCTGTGGAAGGTGAGGGGCGGACATTACACCTTCATGTCGACCATGCTGAGTAACACAAGAGAAAACATGAGGGGAAATAAATTGGAGATAAACTATGATATTAGATAAGTAGTAGTTTGTACAGTAAATATATTAGCAGTTGTACAGAGACATCATATAATATATTTATTAGTGTATATTCTACATCAGCCTTTCCCAAACTTAAGACTGCCGCGGCCCATTATAAAATAAAAGTTATGACTACAGCTATCACTTTCAGCTAGGGTAAATTATTGGACATTACAACATGATATTATGGCAAGATAGACACAAAAGTTTACTAAACATTTTGTCCATGAATAGTCATGACACGCCTTACTAATCACTCAAAGGGTTGACTCATGGTAAATCATCATTATTGTGATATTTATTTTTAAAATTGGTGGAGGGCTTTTTGCGGCCAACCTGCAGTACCCACAATGCCCACCAGGGGGCTGCGGCCCACACTTTGGGAAGCACTGCTCTACATAAAAACAGTGTAAAAATGACAGTTTGCCATAGGGAGTCATTTGTAGAACAGCTCTGCTCTGATACAAGAACAGTTTTATTCTTCTCATCTCGCTGACTAATGACTTTATTTCTTAAAGGCTAAGGTAAGTATTAAGTTGCTTTTGAGATTCAACATAAATCTGCCAAGTGACAACAATATATCAGACTACATAAATGAGTTTCAGGTCATGCTATGTGTAAATAAAACAAGACATACATGATGTTTGCGTGGGAATAATTGTTGGAACTTGGATTTGTGAAAGCTTTTTGTTTGAAGAAATCCCAGTGTCTCCTCTGACTCAGTTTGTAACTGGTAACAATCCCCTTGCTCCCCCTCAGTGTGGTTTCTTCAAGAGAGCATCAAAAGAGGAATTCGATGCTACGTATCACAAGGCAGAGATCCATGTTCAGCCTTCTGACAAAGACAAACTCACTGCTGACGCCTGATTTATACTCTGACCAGGGGTAAAAAACAAGCTGCCAGCATGAAGAGCCTGCAGTCACTAATGAACTCACCTTTAATCTGAATCTGCTGCCGCTTTAACGCCAAAGCATTCAGACACATATTGTTCTGAGCTGATGAAGAACTTCTGCATTACAAAACATAAAAAAAACTATGTAATGTAAGCTTCAAGATTCCTGTGCAATATGTGTCTCTGAATGTTGGCAAGGAAATCATCAAAGCATTTTCTTCCTACAGGCTTGTTTTTTTTTTTGCCTATTTTGCAAAAACAAACAATCGTTTTGTGCTCTGCAGTTGCTTTGCTGATGTCGCTCTCACTGCCTGGCTGCCCCCCCCCCCGTTAAAAAACTGCAAAGCATGCTTAACCTTCCTCCACATTTCTCCTCTCGTTGTTTACAGTGATTATGACAACAAATGACATATATCAGTCTTAAATAATTTTTTTCTTCAAATCTCTCTTCCTAGTGTGGATTCTTCCAACGCTCCAAACAAGACGACAGCGTTCCTCGCTATTACGCCGTGCGAATCAAAAAAGAAACTCCAGAGTGTATAGATGGAAAAGTCAAACTGGATCCTTTTGATAAAAAGCAGTGGATGACTTCTTGGACCGATAATGAAAGTTACTCATGACCTGCTTTCCCTTCAATTGTTTTTCAGAAAACAAACAGTTTGAAGCCACAAACACACTGACCTTTAAATAATTAGCAAACATGACTGTGATTTCAGAAATACGCCGGCTTCCTGTATTTTTTACACTGTATAGATGTTGAAATGTTTACGTATTTTTGTATATACTGAAATACTTTTGCACACTGTATATTTATTTGATAAAATACTTCAGCAGCCAAAGACTTTTTTTCAATCGTATGTCTGACTCTCAAAGTTTACTGTTGTTTTTAAACAGAGCTGTACTGTTAAAATCCAATCCTGAAATCTATGCAAGAGAGGTACAGCTAGCTCAGATGAATGTAAATCACTCGTTATGTTCCAGGTGTTTGATGCTTCTTGTTTCAGAAAGGTTCAGCTTTGAGCCTCTTTGGAATGATTTTAGGTACATCATCATTTCTCAATAATTAAGCTGTAAAAATAAGCACAGCTTTTGTTTGTTTTCTTTTCTCTTGAAGCTGCACTGTAGTGGCACTCAGGTAGCATCGACTGTACAGTAGCTCATCACTGAAAATAACTCTGTTCTGTGTGACGAGTCCAAAGGGAAGATTTGGAAAGCAACAATGTGTGTTTTATAGAAGAAGAAAAAGTGAATGTCTTGTTTAATTGTCAAATATAAAACAAATGCTTTAAACGGATTGCTACTTTGGAATTTATTCACACCAAATATTCAAATTGTTTACAAAACTGATACCAGTTTTCAACTTCTCTCTGGTTTCACCAATAACACCAAAAAAAAGTCTGTTTGTGACCCAATACCATCATATATATGTGTAACCCATGTATGTGTGCTTCTTTGTGTTTTGTTCTGGCAGTAAATGAAGAGTCAGATGATGGTGTGCAGGTTCTAGTTCTTTGTGTTAACAGATAGAAAAACAGAAATCAACTGTGTTATGGAGAGCCGTTTTAACGTTACAGCAAACACCCACCTATCACTAATAATATTTTAGAGATCCATAAAAGCATTTCTCCGTGTAAAAACTTTATTCTCACTAGTAACAATTTGAATCAAAGATACTCACTGTAACATTACTATACAGAGTTGTGTTAAAAACTTAATTTCTCATTTTCCATTCATGCTTACTGGGCTTTCAATTTCTGATATACATCTCTTTTCTTCTCCAAAATTAACATTTGGACATATCAGTTCTTCATAGGAACATGTTTGAATATCCTACATTTAAATTATAAGCAGTAACATTTGGATTGTTGATCTTTGAAATGGCAGTTTTTCTCAGGAAAAACTCAGTTGACAATATCTTGAATGTAATAAGAATGTTATTATGGATATCTTAAATTAGTACCTTCATTATCATGCCCACTCACACAAATTCTCCAAAATACACAGGTAGGAGCATAAAGGAAACCCACAATAGAAATATAATGAAAAATAAATGTTCCGTCTATATCAAACAGCTACATTTATCCTTAACAATCATCTGATTATTTACAGCACACATGTACGGTTACTAAAATCATTGTCTGATACTGAATATGATATTTGAATAGCTTCTGTATATTAAAAAAATAATCATGATCATTGCTATCCTTACATGGAACATGTAAAGATGGCAATGACCACCCGGATTTCCATTTCCTGTTAATCTGTAGATGTCACATCTCATTTGACAGGTGTGTGTTTTATCATGGGGGAAAAAGGGAAATTTGCCCATCACCTGTTATTGAAGCCCAATGAGACGTCTTGAAGTGACTAGGACAGTCACAGATTTGGATTTTTTGTAATCACATAAAACAAAGAAAAGGCTGACTAAAAAGTGAGACAACATATTTTTTGGGGCTTTTCTGAAAGAGAATTTTCACTCAAACTTAAGTTACGTTTCATCACCGCAAGAGTTTCAATTATTATGAAAAATAATCCCTTTTGACAAGACTGGTATCAAAGCTTTGGCATAGTAGAAGTGTTATAGGATACCATCGGTCTAACTGTGACCAAAACAATGCCAAGGACAAGAATGCAGTCAAGTTAACCAATAGAGCAGAGCCTTAATCAAGAGATTTATTTTATTGTATAATTTTGAACACCCAAAGCGTTTACATGGGAATAGATAAATGTCACTACTCTATAAAAGTTGAAAATATCAATCTTTATGCAACCTTAAAAAACTCAAACAGCAGAGAAAAAAAGAAGTTAACAGGAATTTTGTTGTAAGATATCTTTAGATCTTCCAAAGAGAAACATATCAAAAGTTAGCATTTTGTATTATACATCTATGCATTTACTATAGATCAGTCAAATGTTAAACGAAAGGTCTTCTCCTGCTCTTTGCGCTGGTTGTCGCACAGTTTGGACACTTCTTCCACTCGTCTCTGCAGGAGGACTGAATTCTGATCGATCCACTGAAGTGAATCCATGTGAGTGTTGAGGATTTTACAGATCTGCTGAAGCTGAGTAAGAGAAAAAAAATGTTACTTGAATTTTGCAAAAATAGTTACCAATTAACAGAAACAAATGTAAAAGGTAGGTTAAAATAAAGTCTGATCTTACCGGGTCACTGGTATCTGCTGGGCCACTTGATGTGTTCAGGTGCTCAATGATCTCCTTCAGGTCCTGAGACATCCTCTTCAGCTGTGCGTCCACATTCTCTGCCAGCTTGTACGTTCTTTCACGTTCCTCGTCTGCGTTCTGCATATAGATGGTTCCGCTCTGCTCTTTCACAGACTCCTCCAGCGGGCAGAGCAAGTCCTCTAGCTCCTTCTGTTGGGACAGGATGAAGTCTAGCTCCTGGTTTAGCCTTCTCTGATCCAGCTTCACCTTCTCCATCTCCTTGTGAAGTGATGTGATCTTCTCACCATTCTCCACCAGCAAGCGGTCCCACGCATTCACCTGTGTCGCCTGCTGCAAGAAATGTCTCTCCTGGTCTTCCAGCTCCAGACTCCACTTATTAATGAGACCCTCCAGCTGAGCGTAGGTCATCACAGGTGGAGCAGTTGTTGTAGTGAGCGTTGTAACTGCAGTGGTTGTTGTGGCACTTGTGCCAGATGTGGGTTTAAGTCCCAGGGTGAAGCCTGTAGGAATACCTGCTGAGGTGGCTGCAACTGTGGCAGTAGAGGCAGGAGCAAGGGTGGAGGTGGTAGCAGCTGCCCCCAGAGGTTTGAGCATGAAGGAGAGACCGCCACCTGCTGCTGTGGTTGTTGCAGCAGCAGCGGCTGCAGCAGCAGCAGCGGCTGCAGCAGCAGTGCTTGCTGCTGGAGTTGGGGCTACCCCTAAAGAGAAGCCTGTACCTGTTGCAGTGGCTGTAGCAGCTGCAGCAGCAGCACCAGAAGCTACTACTGCAGAGATAGGTGTAGCAAAGAGAGATGCACTAGCTGCTGGGGCTGCCTGAGTTGCTGCAGGTGGAGCTGGGGTGGTAGAGGGTTTGATCCCAAAGGGAAATCCTCCACCTTGCATTGTTGTAGCTGCAGCAGTAGCCACTTGCTGGGGCTGGGTGCCCAGGGTGAGGGTGGGGGGAGCACCGGTGCCAAAGCTGAAGCCCCCACCTGTAGCTGCAGCAGGAGCCAGAGCAGGAGCCGGAGCTGGAGCTGTGGTCGCCTGGACTTTGTTAGATCCAAAGCTAAACCCCCCGAATGAAAGCCCACCTGGTGCTGTTGTTGCAGGTGCTGCGGCTGATACAGGGGCTGCCATAGTTGCAGGTTGGGGTTGGGCTGGAGCTGCAGTGCCAAAGCTGAAACCCCCACCTGCTGGAGCCGCTGCAGTTGTCTGGGCAGACATAGCCGTACCTAAGGTAAACCCAGCTGGAGCTGCTGTGGAGCCCAGAGTCAGTCCTGTAGCTGCTGTGGTTTGAGGAGTCATACCCATGCCGAATGTACTGTTGGGGGTCCCAAAAGAAAAGCCTCCGCCGGCTGGTGTGCTCTTTGCTGGAGTGCCAAAGCTAAAAGAGCCGGTGGGGTTGGTGGTAGCCTGAGGGGCAGTGCCAAAGCTGAAGCCCCCTCCGGCGGCTGCAGGTGTGGAGCTTGTAAGCCCGAAGCCCGAGCTGGGGGCAGCGGCGGTGGTGTTCTGAGCTCCGAAAGCAAAGCCCGAGGAGGGTTGCCCGAAGTTAAATCCTCCACTCATTTCCTTTCCCGGCTGGATAGATATAACTCTATCGAAAACAGCAAACGTTTAAAATGGTCACTTCCTCTCTAAAGCCACTGGAGCTTTTGGCGGGTCACAAATAGTCGCTGGTTCAACCGAAGTGACGCAGGAAACAGTTCGACTTCAACTTTGCCTTTCACGACGTTAGCGGTTAATAAACTCACTCACAAGGTTGTTAACGTTACCTTGACCCAGACCGAGAGCAAATACTAACAACACATCATTCGCCAAAACGTGGCCTGCTTACCCAATTTCAGGCATCTCTGTAGCCGACTACAGGAAATGACGACACTGTGGGTGACCCACAGACGTTAGCCCTGAGTTTTGTCTGTAAACGCACAAACCCCGCCCCCTAGTTAAACTGACAGATCGAATACCCAATCACGATCCTGAACAGACTCTAGATGACATTTGATTGGTAAAAATCGCTGCCTGTTAGACAACGTTCAGGGAAATATTTTCAAGCAAGAGAAGTTTACAAAATTACGACTTCTGTTTCTCGATAAATGAAACTAAAATATGAAATGACTATAGGAAACAACCTATTGAATTTGTAACAATAAGTGAGTGAAATAAAAATGAACGAATCTTATGTTAAAGACAGTGATTGCACAATTGTTTCTGAATGAATCCGCGGTTTTTGTACCCTTTTTCTTAAGACTCCTTTTACTGATTACAAAATAATAGACTATAGAGTTACATACTTTTGATGCACTTATACAGGGGACAGGGGACCATACCTATGGAAGCGATTAGTGATCAAAATTCAAATGCATTAACAGAAATGATTTTTAATTTTCAGAATATGAGTGTATTATTTGACTCAAAAATAAAATTATGATTAATTTATCTAATTTGAATTTTAGTTTTCAACTTCAAAAATGCACATTCTTTGACTAAATTAAAATGAATTACAAAATTAAATTTGCTTTATCATTTTCAAAAAAATGATGGGGCGCCAATTGTGAAGCTGCGCACACTACAAATAACAACATTTCTCCACATTTAGCCCTAAAACATCACTTTTTATTCACATTTAGAGAAATATTTGTGAACTTTGTCATATTTACTTTTGTGAATAAAAATGTAAGATAATTTCATTGGCAAATGTTAAATATTATATCTAAATGTTGAATGTTTTATCTAAATGTTAAATGTTATATATAAATGTTAAAAATACATGTCCAGATTCTAAATATTTAGCTACATTTCCAAACATTTAGTTTACATTCTAAATATTTAGCTTTGATCCTATATATTTAGCTAAGATTGTAAATATTTATAATCAAAGCTAAATATATAGAAATAAAATAATTATTTAGCAACGACTTCTAAATATTTAGCTAAGACTCTAAATCTCTTTGTAATATAGCAATGAGTATACCTGCTCGTTTGTAATGTTAACAGACAAAGAGTAAGGTATTTTACCTGCTTTTTGTAAAGTGTCTCGAGATAACACTTGTTATGAGTTGACGCTATACAAATAAAAATTGATTGATTGATTGATCGATAAATATTTAGCTTTGATTTCTAAATATTTAGCTAAGACTCTAAATATTTAGCAACAATTTCTAAATATATAGCTAAGATTTTTAAATATTTAGCTAATATGCAAATTCACATTTGAAAACCCTGAATTGCGGCCAAAACGGCCCTTCCAATATTCTCCGCTAATTCGCTCGACATTTTCAAAATCCTGAGGATCGCTTCCTCGAACTTTTATTTTGGTGCTTCCGGTGGGCGGTAGAGTGAATTTGCATATTAGCTAAATATGTAGGTACGTAGGTACATGCTCTTCTCTTGACACCGTAATGACTCTTTGAATCTGCTAGCTGGGAGGTAGACGCTCTTCTCTTGACACCGTAATGACTCTTTGAATGTGTTAGGTAGAGTCGCGCAGCCTCTTATGTTGACATTTCAACTTACCTGTTACGATTTTAACCATGAGCAATTGCAACGGGGGAGGATTTAAGATATATTTTTCATTTTCCACGAATATTGATACAACACATTTAACCAAATAATCCATCCACAACATAATTTCAGGAGTGTGTTTGGGTACACCTAAAGTTAGCAAGGAAGCTAATGTCATCGTATAAGCGTAAGCTAGCAGATAATGCGTGGCTGTTCTGGGGATGCCACTTCTGATTACAGTTAATAGTCATCTTTTCTATCTGGGACACCATTAAAAACACTCCGGTCTCTACGTGAGCTGACCCTGGACCTGTCAGGATGAGGATTTTAAGGGTTTTGAGGAAAGGCGTCTCCGCTGGGAAGGACATCGACTATTACTCTAAGTTTTCACCCTCACCTCTTTCAATGAAGCAGTTTCTGGATTTTGGTGAGAGGATACCTGAGGATACGTGACGTGCTACATCACTGGTTTCTGCATGTGTTTGCATTTTAAAACACTAGATCACAGGGTTCGTTCTGATAGTCACTGCTCAATGCAAAGTCCCTGTTAGCTGTGCTCACATGCTTATATATCTACATTTTAAGAAGTTAATCATTAACTAAGTTAATGATTAACTTCCAAAGTGTGTCCAAAGTGCGGCCCGAGGGCCATTTGCGGCCCTTGAGGGGATTTTTTTGCGGCCCGTGACTTCAAATGAAGAATCTGAAGATTTTGGCCGGAGGCCTTGATTAAGATTGGCACATTATCTTATTTTTCTTTTTCATGTTAACAAGTGCTGAACAATATTCCTAAAATAGAAAATTTTCAGTAACATGTTGTTGTTTTTTTAAATCTACAGCTTTTACTATTTTCCACATTTTTTTGCAAACAAGCGGACTGTTGTTTAACCATTTAATGACCTGAGCTAAATGCAGAAAGCTCTTCCAAAAAAAACATGAACCACATTACAGGCTTGATTCTGAGAAAAAAACAAATGAAGTAGAACGAAGAAATCAAAATATTTGATTTCCTTTTATTAAAGGGTTTCTTTAGCGAGCCTTCTGATTCTGATCTACAAAGCCTTACTATTTTTTTTAACTATATTTTAAAAAACAAAACCTGTGGCCTCCAAGCAATTCTAACACGACAATTTTGGCCCGCAAGAAAAAAAGTTTGGACACCACTGAATTAAAGGGATATGAATTTCTCTTGTATTTTCATATCATAAAATATTTGATTGGTTACAAATTCATATGGTTAAATATGTTAGCCACATTATGTAACTTGCTGTGAGTGGAGTTCTGATCCTCAGTCAAATAAAATATAAACTATCATAGAGGCAGGTTTCTGACTTTTCTTTATTAAGGTTATTTGCTGAAGAGTAAATAGGAGATCCGAATTAGGTCAATACACAAAAAAAAGTCACTTCTAGACTTTTTTCTTCAGCTGTTTTTTAAGAAATTCACAGTTTTAAAACTATTTACAAATTAGTTGCTCCAAAAACATTGTGCCTTGAGGAAAAAATACAATTGTGCATTTTGCCTTCCTAATGTGTTCATAATGACAACTATAGACCTGGAAACATCTCAAAATATGAATACTCTATATCATAAAGGGAATTTACAAATACAACTTTAAACCCATTTTTAAATAGAAATTATATGTCTGTGATCCATAAAATATAAAACATTGTTTTGTTTTACTTTAATGCAAAAAAGATTTAAATTCAGTTTTCATAAAGTGGTCTGACTCAGTTATTACTACCTGAGGGATGGCTACTGAACTTTCTATAATCTGTTAACCCTTAATTTGTTATAGTTTTACATGTTAAACAACCCTAAGTAAGGGCAACACATACATAACACACAACCTCATGAATAATGCAGCATTTCTATTCTTTTTAAAGACATGAAATAAATAACATTCCTGTGTGTTTTTAACCCCTTCAGGATCAGAAAATGCCTGTGAGAAAACCTCCTTCACCTTCCTTAGACATGAGTTACCTGTGAGGTTGGCCAACATAATGAAAGAGATCAACTTGTTGCCAGACAACTTACTGAGGACTCCTTCAGTCCGCTTGGTCCAAGGCTGGTATGAAGGCTTCCTTTTTTCGTCTTCTACATATTCCCCTCATGATGCTGATGCAGATTTATAGCAATGTTTTGTTTTGTTTTTTCACATACAGGTACATGCAAAGTCTTCAGGAGATTCTTACATTCAAGGATAAAAATGCAGACGATGAAAAAGTCACATATGAGTAAGTGAAGTGAAGCACACACTCTGCAGTTTGATATAACTCATCTAATAATGTGGTTGTGTTTTCTACAACTTCTGGTGATCTGTATGTGTTTATTCAGCTTCACAGATGCGGTAATAAAGGTCAGAAATCGTCACAATGATGTCATTCCCACCATGGCTCAGGGAGTTGTTGAGTATAAGGAGACGTACGGCACGGACCCGGTAGTCAGCCAGAATGTTCAGTATTTTCTAGATCGTTTCTACATGAGCAGAATTTCCATCAGGATGTTGCTCAACCAGCACAGTGAGTACATTCTCTTCTGCTAAATGAAAGATGTTCATTCAGTGCTCATTTAGGGATGATTTATAATTCTATTATTATTGACAGGAGACCAGAGGCCTGTGTTCTGAACATGGTCCAGAGTGTGTACTTTCTGCTCTGTTTGAATGTAGTCTCAGGAATCAGCAGACCACATCCAAACTCGTAATGTCATTATGATTTTTTACTCGACTTATTTCTGGTTTGTACTTAACTAAACACTCTACAGGACATTTTAACAGAATAATTGGAACAGGTATTTGTACGCTACTCAGATTACATCTCAGAGAAAATGTCCATATGCTGATAAGATGTTGTTTTTTTACATCTTAATGTTGTTTTTTATTTTTTATTTTTTTTTATATTTAATTAGTTGTTTTAATCAGCTTTTCAATCATAAATGCCATGCATTAGCTGATTGCATGTTCTCAGTTGGGATTATTTGCTGATTTTCCTCGTCTGATTGGATGGTAAATTGGAACACCTGTGGATTTGGAGTAGGTGGGAAAAAAAGGTTCAATTGGGAGTCAATTACTCAAGACTCAACGAATATCAATGCCCAAGAAAGTCTGTTTTAGGTATTTATCAAATATTGTTAGCCTCGTAGCATGATGGCCTAAGTCATATTTTAAGGTTTTCAGAAAAGAAGGAAAAACACATTCTAAGTCATGTGACTCGAGTCCACACCTCTGCAGTTCATAATTCCTGTGATTGGCTGAAAGTTGAAGAAATATGAGCTAGCTTCAGTGCGTGGTAGTATTCCTGTGTGTTTGTATTCCAGCTCTCCTCTTTGGTGGGAAGGTGAAGGTGAATCCAGCACATCCAAAACAGATCGGCAGTATCGATCCACACTGTCGGGTCAGCGAGGTCATCAGAGGTCAGAAGAAGAACTCTGTAGAAACATGCTGTGAGAAACATGCTGTGGCAGAGTTACTCAAAGAAGTTGTGTTCATGTGTTCTCTTTCTTATAGACGCGTATGAAAATGCGAGAAACCTCTGTGACCGTTACTACATGAACTCACCCGAGCTGGTGCTGGAGGAATACAACGGTATACAACATGACATATGTCATACTATACAAAGATATGAACCACTTAAGCCTGGCTCACACTGTGCGATTTTTCCCCGATTGTATAAAAGTCGAGGTGGCATGTCAGCTCACACTGAACGACTAAATCGTTAACGACGCCCGACCAGACCTTGAGATTGACGTGCTCACACTGTATGAGTAAAACAAGGACGGAGCGTTGACAATTGTTAATAAAGTTTCATTTGAAAAAAACAAAGGAAGTGTAAGTTGTTGTAGGATATAGAGAAGTTGATACAATCGTAGATATATGGATACAAGTTTCAGAAAAGTGCTGCACTGATGATCTGTACAGAAAAGTACAAAAAAAAAACTAAAACGCTGGGTTGCGTCCTGCTGCTGGTCGCCATGACTACAGTCCTCCCTTGTCTCTCATGATTATATTGTAGTCACACACAACTGCCGGACCCTTTCATGACGTAATCGTCAAGATTTTAAATTTTTAAATATCAAACATGTTTGAAATAAATCGGGGCGTCCCCGACGATCACCGGGCAGATCGGGGATGTTAAGATTGGATCTCTGTACCTCTCACACTACAAGATAATCTGAGCAGAGAATCGGTCCGAGCAGCTTTGATTTAGGAGCGACCCTGTGATTGTTGGGAAGGAAGAATCGGAGCTCAAATCGGCCCGATTATCCTGCAGTGTGAGCCAGGCTTTACATTAAAGCACTTGTGATCAAACTGAGTCTGACCTGTTTGTCCTGACAGTCAAAGAAAAGGACAAACCCATCACTGTGGGCTATGTGCCGTCCCATTTGTACCACATGGTGTTTGAACTGTTCAAGGTAAGATGGACTGTACTAGCTGCTTTATGTGGTAGTTTTTAATATGTCTTTTATATAACAAACATTTGTTTTGTGCACTTTCGTTGTTGCAGAACGCAATGCGAGCCACCATGGAGTTATACGGTGACGCCATGGAGTACCCCGCTGTCCACGCGCAGGTCGCTTTGGGAACTGAAGATCTGACAGTCAAGGTAAACGAGCTGCTGCTTTTTGTCTCACCTTTTGAACTCATGACAGCTTCAGGCGTGGTTTGAGAGATTAGAGGGAACAATTGGAGGAACCGCTCAGACTGTGTGTTCATCTCCAGGTGTGCGATCGTGGAGGAGGCGTGCCGTTGCGTAAGATTGACAGGCTGTTTACCTACACGTACTCCACGGCTCCTCGGCCCAGCATCGATGGCCGCGCTGCTCCTCTGGTCGGTATCTCTCTTTTTTTTGATTGTCAGTTTAAGAATAAATGCAGATGGATTTAAAGGAGCAATGTGTTACTCTTAACACTTAGTGTTTAAAATGAGTACTGCAGTCCAAATTCAAATCATTGAAGGAGCGAGCCTATTAGAAAAATGCAGAGGCTTTTTAGGTATGGGTTGAACCAGTTCACTTAACCGCTTTCATCGCTGCAACTCCTGGTGGTTTGTGAGTGAGTGAGTGAGTGAGTGAGTGAGTGAGTGAGTGAGTGAGAAAGAAATTCCAGTCATCAAAGGCTAAATGGCCTCTATTTATGTCTTTTGTTTATCAAGTCCTGAGAGATCCTCCTCTCTCCTATTGGATACGTGGTATAGCATGTTTATGCAGGTGCATGTTTGAAGTCTGCAAGAATAGTTTGCAGCCTTGTATGGCTGGTCATTTCTCCAGCAGACAGCCATGAAGAGAAGCCAAAAACCAGATGAGGCTCTTTCTGCAGCCCTCTGAGGAGAGTGCGCAGTATGTTACTGAGGAGGATGTTACCAGCAGTGAGGATTCATCTGAGAGCCAGAAGGAATCAGGGGAGGAATTTCTGCCAGGTACAGAGGGGCCCTGGAGGAGAAGGAGGAAGAGGCAATGGAGGATAACACCTCTCTGTCGAGATACAAAAAATGGCGATGGAGGCCCTGCCATTCTTTCCCCCTCCTATCTTGACCCCAGGGCTGACTTAGGGCACACTACCTCTAGCAAAGTTGTCCCATACCACGCGTCCGCACATCCGAGAACAGTGCAGAGAACATGACAGCTACTTTACTACTACTATTACTATTACTACTTTGTGTCTTATTTTGAGTCATGTTAGTCAGATAGAGACAGAACACTCTGGGATTTTTCGATTATAAAGGCTGTCCACGTAAAAAATAATTAAAAAAAACTTTACATCTATGGTTAGGTCTCTGGTTGTTTAAAAGATTTGATGAAAGTGAATAAACTCTCATTGCTCCAAAAATAATAATGCATCAAAATCAATGTTGTGATTAATTATTGACCTAGTCAAGGTTGTAATAGCCTCATACCAAATATTCCACTTTGTGTTTTTCCCATTGGAAAAAGTCCAGGATTCTTATGACAAAAAGATAAAAAATGTAAAACAATAATAAAAAAACTTTACATCTATGGTTAGCTCTGAAGTAGTTGAAAGGATTTGATGCGGTGAAAGTAAAAAAAAATATTCATAAGATTTTTCTTACACTTTTATGAAAGGGACCTGTTTCGGGCCTTAGGGACGAAAGTGTACGTGTTTTATGAAGGAGCATCAGGGTTTAAAGACTTTATATATTATTTTCAGACTTAAATATAATAGAAATCAAGTATCTCCTCTGAAAATAACTCTGTGAGTCATGACTGTCTACAATGGGTGTAACACCCGAGTCCCACTGTCTGTGATGTTTTCAGAGTTTTCAGAGTCCTATCTTCAGTTTGTTTACATCGCCAGGACGGCCGGCTGACTCCTCCCCTCACGTATAAAAGTTGTTTAATTGAGGGACTAGAGAAAAGAAGAATAACATACTGTACTCACTGATTAACTGTGTTTCTAGATCACGCTCATTTCAGGTAAATTTACATGCAGTGTGAAGATACGAGCATAATAAAGATCGCTAGCATTAGCATGCTAACACAACAATGCAGCGCAAGTTGTTTTGGTTTCATGCTGGTGCTCAAGGATGACATCGCATAATAAAGCCTATAAGAGTTTTGCTCTTGTGTCTCAGCTGGTGGACAAATAGTTTTCTTTCCGTCCAGGCTGGGTACGGGTACGGCCTGCCCATCTCTCGACTCTATGCTCGCTACTTTCAAGGGGACCTGAAGCTCTACTCTCTGGAGGGTTATGGGACTGATGCTGTCATCTACATAAGGGTAATAGCATTAGCATATTTGACCTGTCTCTCACCAGCATGCATAATGTACGTGCTGTTTTAACCCTCTTCATTGTCTGTCAGGCGCTCTCCACAGAGTCCATCGAGAGGCTGCCTGTGTACAACAAGTCAGCCTGGAAACACTACAAGACCATCCACGAGGCAGACGATTGGTGCGTTCCCAGCAAAGAGCCAAAGGACATGACCACGTTCCGCAGTTTCTAGACATGTGAATACAGCCGAGGTGACGAAGCAAAGTGTGCAGAGAGGTTGCGGTCAATGGATGGTGGGTTGTGTGTAGCTGCAATTTATCCGTTCAGATTTCCCTTGTACAGAAAAATAGAACAAAGTTTTAGTGCCATATATACCAGAACCAGCTCCCTGAAAAGCCCAACATACAGTATACTAGATCTTAAAGGCTGGTACCATCCTTGATACTTGACATTTAAACAATATATTGGCAATATTTGTTTTCTTTTGACCCCTATGGAGAAAGCAGAACGTCTTAATTCTTTGCTGGTGAGTACAGAGTCGTGTACCATAACACAGACAAATCAATCCTCCAGCAGACTTTAAGTTAAACCTATCACTCATTTTTGAGGGGCAGCAGTAACAGGGATGAAAATGATTACATTCTTAAAAAGAGCAAGTACTGTTTATTTTGAACTCATGAAGAGGAGTCATCACTGACTTTGAAGTGTCTCATAACCAGTTTAAAAACTACTCGCAGGATATTTCAGGTTGCTTGTAAATGCCTGCTTACAGAGTGGAGCTGATGTTCCTGGTTCTTAGCACCCCTGGTGGACAAACTGTATAACTACATCAATATTTCTAATTTACCTCAAACATATTTTGACATCCTTTAAATGCAGATTGTCATGTACCGAGCTACACATTAAAAACAGCAGCGTGTCTGTCGGCTTAAATGCAGGTGTTATGATTTTGGAACTAATTAAATTTCCCTCCAGCATAGGACACTTGATTAACTGAAACCGAATGTTTTGATATCACAAGGGGTGAGAGGAAAATGTATCCGAGACTCAGGTGAAACCCTCCTTTAAAGTAGAACTTTTTTTTTGTTTACACTTTGCACTCCTTGTGTTTATGGCGTTTCTTCATTTGGTTAGCAGCTTTGAATTTGCTCAAACTCAAACGTAACTTGGTAGTTGATCTGTGAAGGTTTTTTTTTTTTTAGCCCTGCTCAGTGTCATGTTTCTTAAGTCAGTTTTAAAGGGAAACACCTTCTGCAAAATGTACTACTTTTTTTTCTTTTATAAATGTGTCACAAGTTTCCACCGAAAAATCTTAAAGGTGGATCATTCTCATTTAGGGCATTTCTCCTGCAGTGGAACAATTTGTGCAAAGGCATGTGATAAATCAGTATTGATTGGGGATGTGAAAGGGAAAACGTGCACCTTTTTTTTTCTTTTGTTACATATGATATAAATAACGTGTTGCATATTTAGATTTCCTCCTAAATTGTACATTCTAAGTTATAGTGCTAAGAATCTTGAGACATTATAGACATAAAATAAACAGATCAAAAAGACAATCTTCAGTATGAATACAGTACTTTGGTTTCTGTGGTTGGGACTCATTCTGTTCAATAAGCTATTTTTCCACATTTGTCATGTTACATTAACAGTTACACTTGTATGCATCATGCTTAATAAAAGAGACATTTGTCAGTTGGATTATTGTTGTGTTGAAACTAAGATCCGTACGTTTTGTCCATAGATTTCATGCCACGTTTATGCCTCATGGTTTAATGACACAGCATCAATCCAAAGAAGTCTAAAGGGACACTTTTAAAAGCAGTTCAGTTTTAGTATTGATCAGGAGCCAACACTGTCAGAATAGATTATAAGAAACTATAAAACGAGTTTGTCTGAGTTTTCTTCTCTCTTGATGTAAACCACATCAAGTTTCTAGTTTTCTTGTACTGGCTGTCGATGCAAATTAAGCAAACCAAACAAACTGCATAAAGTGAAAATTAGTTTATTGATGCTGTATGTACCAAGAAATGTTTCTCCGTAAGATGTGGAAAACATGATTTTCTTGCAGTCCAACATGTCGTACACTTTACAGGACATGGAGTCATGTTTGAGAAAAAGAAGCACTTGGGTTTGCTGTGAACAATTCATCTTTCAGCCTCACATTTCCAACGTGACACTATTCTCCCGACTCATACAAGTCCTTGTCATAGGCACGTCTTACAAACCTGTGAGGTGTGTGTGTGTGTGTAGCAGACCTGCATGCTGTGTGTATTTACATGGAGCAATCCAGTCCAACTTCAGCAACACACAGCCAGAGTCAGGGAGAGCGAGAGCAGCATTCACATCGTCTCTACTTGATTTTTTTGTGTCTTTTGATTCATCAAATCCTCAGCGTGGCTATTCTACTTAGTAGAAAAATGAAGATAGTATAAAAAGAACAATGACATTTAAGTAATAAAAAAAGATATGCAGTTAATAGGCACATGTATAAAACGTATTCATACATTTAAAACCTTGTTGCCCTTTGAAGCTTAAAAGACAAATATAGGGCTTTTATCTGACTGTACAATAACTGTTCCTGCAAAAGACGGGCACAGAAACAGGTCACTAGCAAAAATAAAAAATTGCTGATAAAGCAGTATACATCTGACTTCCATAGGTAAACGTGTGCATGGTCTGATCTTAAACAGACTTCTAATAATAACAGCGTCTAACTTTGTAGTGGTAAAAATGTGTTCCTTTTTGGTCACATACCCATAAGGACATTCCTTGAATTTAGGTAAAAACAGTTTAGTGAAAATATTTGGGAGAAATTGTAAAGAGAAGAAAGTAGTAGCTGCAGTTTGAATATGAATCACTTCTGGCACCTCAGTCCCGACAGGAACATCACTGGCAGTTATGCTCCCTGGTTGCTGCCGTAAACACCATGTGACCCAGACGTCATGGCATTAGAGTATAAAAAAGGGTTGCTCAGGTTCTGCTAGGAATGAACTTTATGAACTGTGTGAGTTTAAAGAGCAGCACTGCTTCTTCCTCAGCAGACAGAGTCAGTACTGGCTGGCAGTCTCCCGCTGCGTCGCCCCTCCTTTTCTTTTTTTTCCCTCTGTTTCTCCAGCTTCTCCTGAGCCTTACGCATGTCCTTCAGCTTCTTCTTGATAGTTGAACGGTCGCTCTGACTCGACACACCAAGTGCCTGAGGGAAAAGGTTGAACTTATTTAGTATAATGACACCATGTCTTAAAAGAGCTCACCATTGTTTTTCGCCATTGACTGATTCCTGACTGATTACTTATTCTGCAAAGTGACTGTAAAGACAGCTTCATATAATTAACAGTTCTTTTTGGTGAACCTGTTGGAAATTTAACAAAAAAACTCATTAACCTCACTCTTCAGGATTTAATATTCAAGTGAACTTTCAGCCTGATTAATAACATGTCCTTATAAACTCCATTATAAAGTACTCTACTGTGCATTATCTTTTGTTGAAACACATAACTTAAGTTCTATTATCATCCACATAGATTATTTGGGTCATGACTTCTTCTCCCTCTGATGTTGCAGTAATGTGATTAATAAAAAAACCCATCTCCACCTTAATCTTTCATAAGATTTTTTTTTTTAAACGTGGCCACAAGGTGGCAGTAAAAGGCTGACAGCCGGACTAAATAAGGACTTCATTCTGTATTATTATTGCATCATCATCATCATTTTACCTTCAACTTGTCACTGTCCAGGTGTAAGAGCTGCTGGCCGTCCACTCCCTTAGCTGTGAACTCAGGTGTGTATTGGTCCATATTCATGCCCATCAGCCAATGACAGACCTGCTGATTGGTCCATTCACACACAGGCCGGTTCTGCCAGTGATATTCTTTTCCTGGAGCTACGGGCTCATCATCCAGAGTCTACAAAGGACACACAACAAACACACACTTAAAAACACAAACACACATCTGAATATCAATGAGTGTCAAAGATAACTTGATTTCAAAATGCATTTCTTTACACGGACGTTCAACCACATATGGCCTTCATCTTTTTAGTGTTATAGGTTTTTAAATAAACAACAGATTTATGCCAATAATGTTTGTTTCCATGTTAAATGTTAACAAGTGGTGAAATGTAAACGTAAATAATGTTTTCCCACATAATCCACAAAATTACTTCAGTAAATGCTAATTTCCTCTGTGCACATATAATGTTTTTTAATAAGTAGAGATACTGCCGAAAATCAGTTCGATAAGGGAGAGGGAGGCTTGAGGACCAAAATAAAATGTAACAGCAACCACAGTAGATTCACATCAAACAAAAACAAGTTGTAGGGCAGAGTCTGTTAAAAAAAAACACTTTTCCCAAGCCAGCAAAAAGAAAACAGACATGCATGACAACAAAATACCAATAACATTCTCAGCAGCAGCTGTGTCTTCTTTATGCTGTTTTACTAAGAAAAAGTGACACACTTGACACTAACATGAAAAAAAATGGTGAAACAGCAGCAAGGGGGCAGCAGAGCAGTCAACAGTTCTGTGGTCTGCCAAAGCTTGTAAAAAACATAAAGCACTGGCTGACGGTTCACACAGAGGCAAGCTATGAACATCACAGCTGACCTAAGAAAGGCTAAGCCACAACACTTGTTTTCATACAAAACTTTAACAGCTTTAACATGCAGCTCTCCTCTGTTCCCTCCGCATTCACAATTGAACCTCAGCTATGAAAGCGGGGAGAGGCTCAAAGAGCATGCTTGAGAGAATGCCCCCTTTCAACAGCATCAAGGCGTCCCACACAGCTTTTGTGACTGTGCAACAAGGAGAGCACTCACCTCGCTGGAAGAGAAGATTAAAGTGTGTGAGCGCCCAGACAGATTGGGTTCAGCGACTAACCCAGAGATGTCTGAACTGGGACTGGCAGGGTTAGAATCATCTATGACTGAAAAACTCTGGAACAAGTGGAAACAAGGAACGTATTTACTGGAGTCAACAACACCAAAACAACAGATCTTTGCAAAGAGAAGCAAACAAACATCACACATGTGCGGGATAAGTTAAACTGATTAATTCATTAAGATTAATGAACAAAATTATTATTGCAGTGGAAGCAATCTAGGTCATTGATGTGAGCAGTGAGTGACTGATGATCAACATGTGAAAAAAGACAGAAGAACAAGCACTAAATAACACAGCAACGAGACAGCAATCCAAAACCAGTCCACCACCAAAAACCATCAACAACTTCTAATCTACAACATCTAACACACTACCTCAACACACACAAAAACAAGCACACACATTTCAGGTATGGGGTAATGTTTTCAGTTGAATTGAACAGATGACATCAAGATCAACTATTTGGTGGCAAAGTGATTCAATTTGTTTTTGGACTCAAACTGGAGTTAAATTAGGAAGAGATGTTGTTTAGAACAGCAGGCTGTTGCATCAGTTAAGCACAAGTTTAAGCACAGCAGCTTATTAAAGGTTGAATCATTCTATCACATAAAACACAAGTTAGCTAAAGGCTAGCAGTTATTCTATGACATATACATCTCTGACAAAACTTCTGATTAGCTGCTGCAACAAGCCCAAGAAAACTACTTTTCGTTTCCTCTCATTCAAGCCAATTTTCTGACAATGACAACTTGACGATTCATTAATATGAGTTATATTTTATATATTAACCCGTTATAATGCTACCACATACCGACTACAAAAGATCTGAGAATTATTCAATGCATCCAGCAGGATGTATTGGGGGTGAGAAATGATTGATCTACATTTATCTACAAAGATCTATATTAGTTAGTGATACTCAACAGTTTCATAGGTGAAACAGAAATGTGTATATATACTGTACCAAATCTAATGATCGACTGAATAAAGAAGACCAGGAGAGATTTGTCTGTTTGAAGGAAACATGGTTCACAAAGATTAATGTCCATGCAGCAAAGCATTGATAAACACTACCACAATGTTCACAGTAATAAAAACTAACTTTTGTCTATGTGATCACATCTTCCCCCATTCAGTCTGTGTCTTGAACTCATTAAACGGCATCATGGGAGTCTGGAAAGCCTGACCGCAGCCTGTATGACAGTTGGCCATGCATTTCTCTGGATGCTTTTGATATGTCACTACTTGCAAGCTCATTGAAAAAGCCACCAGAACCTTCCCTGTTGGCTCTCTCTGATGGCTGTCATATGGATCCAGTTATTGTAGCATTTATATGTTAAAGCTCATTTTTAGAAATCGCAAACGAAGGGCACGTGTCTGAAAGCATCCTCTTTTGTGTCTACTAGTTTTACTCTTGCAGTTAGGACAACAGTATATTACAATCCCACATATGATCTATCTCAATTGTATTTTTATGACATAGTACAACTACATTTTGGATTCTAATACTCTCCGTTTTCACTTAAACTTGCATACCTTATTCTTTCGATCCTGGCTTTGTTCACAGCTGCTCTCATTAGCAGTGTATGGTAGACTGCTGCTGGAAGAGGAGGGTTCTCTGTCCCTGTCTCTCTCTTTGTCACCAAACCAGGAGAACGGCATACAGGTCGGGATGGAGGTCATTGAATCGGCAGGAGACAGATTCCCCCCAGACTCCTCCAACAACTCTGCTGATCCCCTAAACATTGGAGAAAAGTGTCAGCTACATTTATGTTTCATTACCAATGACTTAACCATCAGTAGAAGGCTTATCTTGAGT